GACTTCCGTAGTAAGTTCGTTCTAATTGGTCAATATTAACGGTCAATTGGTTGGTCCACGATTTACAATCTCACAATGGAAACTGCTGTAATATGTTCCAAAGGCGATGTTTCCTTTCATGTCTTCTTCCAGATCTATCGAATGAATAATGCAGAGAGATAAAGTGGATGAATGCAATCTTTATGCCAAGGAATTTCTCTCACAAAGAAAATGAATGTACATGAATGCTAATTAATCAAATTTGGTTAATCACACAAATAAACATGCATGCATATAAAAATAATTTCATTGCACAGCCCCATTGGTATTGTGTAACATATTAAATTAAATTATCTGATCAATTCAATTATGTGGATAGACTATTAAATTTGAATTTCTTCTTAACTTTGCTAAACGATTAGAAAAATATGGAAAAGACACTCAACTATTACCTACCCACATTTAAGAAAGATCCCATAAAATATATGTATGAACTTCCAATTTTCATGAAGAAGTACAGTCAGGGAATTTATTGAAGGTAAATATACACTTTTATACTTGAAAAAGTGGATCGCATAAGATCAAAGATTATGAGAATTGTATCTCATGCAACAGGCAGTTCTGAAATGGTCAATAGAGATGCATATACATTGTTAAAGTAAATGTGCAAACCATTAAATATTTTAATTTTTGTGTTAATATTGATTAAAACCACTATTACTATAAGAATATTTCATCTGTGTGTGTGGCACAGTTAGGCAGGGTATGACCTTGAGGTCATGGCGTAGTAATACTATTCTCACAAAGGTTTTGTTTTATTTATTATATATTTAATATCACCCAGACTTAACTTTGAAATAGTCAATGCCGTAAAAGAATTTAATAATCCTATCTTTTCTTTTCCAATATGTTCTTGACTAAAAAGAAAGTAAACCTTTCAAACTCTTTCAGTTCTCTTCTTAAAAGCATCTTCCGAAATATTGCTAGGTAATTGTTCCTTGTTAACTTTCACTTGAGCCATCTGGTCATTCTTAACTTGGCTATAATGAAAATAGAAACATTGCAATAAGAGTTCTCCAAAATTATAGTAACATTGAATTACTTCTTGCTTTGTTTTTTCATTTCGGGTCTCAGCTTTGGTAATTTCATGATATAAATGTAAAAAATTAAGAGTATCTATCATTGAAATGGAATTGGAAGTAGATATTGATGATTCTTGGCTTGGTGTATTAGTCAATTCTTTGATAAGTTTTTTCAGTTTTAATGAATCTTCTTTATTTGCTTTCTGTTTTTTTACTGGAAGTCTTATTAGTAGGTGTGGACTCACCAGCACATTTGGATGGTAGAATATTTGTAGTTGATGTTTCTGGTGTATTAGATTCCATGTTTTGTGATTGGTTATCATTGGAGTCCTCTTCTGCAATTGTGTCTAGACAAGAAGGATCATTCTCTAAAAAGGTGTTGTTGAAGATTAATGGATCACATAATTTATCTTGCGACCTATCTATGCCCATACTTCCTTGGGATGTCATTCTTGCTAGTGGTGATCTTTCAATGATTTCGATTTCCATGATGCAATTACTATAACATTATAAATAATTGCAACATTTGACAAACCTGAAAACAATTTAGACATCCATCTACAACAAAACATTGCATTATTTACAACAAAATGTTGCAATTATTTGCAACAAATTGTAGTACAATTTTGTCCAGCATGTATGCCATAAGTTTTGATGATTCACACATTAAAATTCTGGCTGGGGCCTAAAATTTTTCCCTAATAATTTTAGAGAATTGTTATTCACACCTCCCATTTTTGTTATTCACACCCCTCCCGTGACTAAGTCAAAGATGAACCAATAAAATCATCACATTTAAAGCCATTCATTGGTCACATTACTACACTTAGTCACGGGAGGGGTGTGAATAACAATTCCCTAATTTTATCCTGTACTATATTTCCACATTTGCATGCTTTTTACCTTGGAGGTTTCTAGGACCTCAATTAGGTCCCGTGTAATGAGTTAGGGCAATAAATAAATAAAATTTATACATTAAGCTTCAAGCCTGCATTTTTTATGTTCAAGCTGAATATAAACTTGACTCATTCAGAACTTTAGATTAAACAAATGTTTAATAAATTTCTCAATAAAGTGTCTCCTACATGTCCTTTTTTTTAATATAATGTTATTTTTTTTATAATTACAAATATAATGTTTGCTTTTTATAAATAAAATATAAATATCATTTATTAACAGTTTGAAAAGGCTTATGACTTTTTATGAGACTCAAAACCCCAGAATCAGATTGAACTGTTCAGGACTGATAAACATCATTAATGTCCTATTGCTGATGATATTTGTGGAGATTGATTATTTAATTTATTCTAAGGATTTTAAATATTATAAAAATAGGTTTTCTAGAAAATTTAAACTAATTAAAAAGAATTGACAAAATAGATGCAATAAATAAACTTTGATTCTTCAACAATTAGGAGGTAGATGGTGGTCTTGTTGTTATTGCTGTAGTATTTTCTTCTCCTGTTGATATAGCTTCAATTGTATCTGTTGAGATATTTGTAGTAGTTCCATTATTGTTAGACTCTTTTGTATTCTTCATAAATTTATTATTTAATGATTCAATATATGGTTGTGGAAAAACTATCCAATTTTCCCAAACACCAAGAATTGTTATAACTTGTCTCTATTCATCATTAACAATTATAACAATTATTATTATGTTTTACTATCAAGTTTTTTAAAAGGTTTCAGAATTCACCCCCAAAAAATAATTACCCTGAATGTCTCAGCTTTTAATCTTGCAGTTATTGATCTGTATATTTCATTTAAATGTTCAAATATTTCTGGCAATCTGCTCTCAAACCTAATAATCATTTATGATTACTTAATTGGTAAAATACATAATAAACAACACCAAACCAATATATATCTACCCAGTTCGAAACTTCCATGCATTAGGAATAGAAACACTACTATTGTGTAAAATGTCTGATACTAAGTATAATCTTGCAACTTTTGTTGAAATTGGTGTTTCTTTGATGGTAAGTGTTTTAAAGATAATTTCTACAATCTAAAAAAATTTTTCGTTAATCTATTTTCAAAATTTTTGATAAAATACACAAAATATAAACCTCATCAGCAGCATCTGAATGATCAATAGAAAATGCCATAGTTTTTGCTATAGCACCACGATTAAATGTTAACTTTCTAAGCATTGCTTCTAATCTGTGTTTAGCTTTAGGACCAAGTGTACCTTTTGGTACACGTTCTCTTTCATGCTCATCATCCTCATCAGAATCTAATGTTTCATTAGTTGCCTATTTCAAAAAAAAGGTATAAATTAATTATAATTATTACAATAAAGATTTGAAAGAAAGATTTTAACATGATAGGAATATGATACAAACAACTTCATCAAATGGAATTTCTGGAGGAACCCATATAGGACCTTCATCAAACATATGAAAAGCTTCAGTATTCCACCTATTTTTTTGATCTCCTTGAAGGATTGAATATAATTTCCATCTGTAATACACATGCTCAAGTGACTATATTTGAATTTTTTTTTTTAATTAGTATGTTAATATAAGTAAGTAGTGTAAATGATGGCACAGGATTAGATTAAAATCTTACATCATTTTGGAATAAAAATGAAAATTTTGGATTACTCCATTCACGATCCATAATTATAGCTTCAAATGGTGGCCCATATTTCACAACCCTTTCAACCATACGGTGTATTATCTTGACTATTTGATGAGCTTCTGGTTTGTTGACTTGTACTTCAAGTCTAGGAACTTTTGATGTAGCCTATTAAAATAATAACAATTATTATTATTACTGATTATAATGATTAACAATTATCCTATTGTTAACAGGTAACATACATACACTATTTGAATTTGGTGGCGGAATGTTGGTATATGCTGTAAAATATTATTTATCATACAAAAAGATAAGATGGCTATTGTAAAATAAATAACAAATAAGACAAATTTTCATTTTCACCTTTTGAATGAACCATTTGAGCATTAAAAGGTAATCCACTTGGTGGTGGACAACTACTTTCATTTAAAACTAAATTATACAAAAATAAACTCTGATTTTTAAATAAAATCATAAATAACTAATCATAGTTAGAACCAAACCAACATACCATATATAGGTTTGGGTGGAATAGGGACTGCTTTTCCCCATCCAACTCGCATAAGATAACCCAATAAATCTTTACCATCCATGTTTTTTAAAGCTTGAGCTGCACATTCTCTATCCATATAACTGACAAATCCACAGTTTCGATTTCTATCTTTTTCTTCTTGTGTGCGTGGCCACATAATTTTGACACTTGCAATTGGACCATACTTTGCAAACTCTTTGCAAAGCATTTCTTCATTCACCTAATTTTTCATCCCGTCTTTTTATTTTTCAAGTCATATGATAATATTATAATAACAAAATGAACATGCAATTTTTACCTCTGGACTAATATTACCAACATATAAATTAGTTGTATTTGGATCACCTGTATCATGAGAACCAGGGCGATCTTCAAAAGCTGAATAAATTTGGGATTTTTAAAAAAAACAATAAAATATATATATACACTTTTCATTATAATTAAATAAATTTTTATGTTATATTAGTTACCTGCTTTAACAGTAAGTGAAGCATTTAAATTTTCATCACCACTACTAGTCTCTAATAATACAAATATTTTAAATACTTTGTATAAAAAATCTTTAGACAAATCAATTTATTCACTTACCATTTGGTACACCAGCTCCTGCTAATTTTGCATGTTTTTGCTTTAATCTGTCCTCTCTCTCTTCTTGTTCACTGTCAATTATTTTAATAAATTAATTAAAATTTTAAATTAATTTAATTAAAGAAAAAATAAAAATTTCACAAACCGCTTAATCTCCTCTAAAAATGCATCTAAATTACGTTTTCTCTTATTTCTATCTTCTTTAACTTCCTTCTAATATATATATATATATATTTGTTGTTTTGTTGTTCTGGTATTAATATTTTTCATAACTATAAATATATGATATAATTATTTAAAATATTCTAATAAACCTCTTTATCATTATAATGTTCTATAGCATCAGGCTTAGGCTCAACTTTCTTGGCTGTAATAAATGGTTGTGGTTTATAAATCTTTGGAGGAGATGTAGTATTCATATTCTCAGATGATTCTTTTTTAATATTAGCAGCTTCATGGTCAAATAATACTATATTTTGTAAAAAAAAAGTTTAATTCAATATTATTTATTTATAATAATAAAAAAAACCTAATCAATCAATAGAATAATTACATTTGGGTACAATTGTTTCTCCTTTAACAAAAGCTTTTCCTGCA